CCTGAGCCGGCTCCTTCCCCCGCTGAGACGACTCCTGAGGGTATTCAGATTCCTCCGCTCTCTCCTCTAGAAGGGCCTTAGCCGACCCTCTTAGGATCGAGTCTCCTTGCGAGTCGCCTAGAGGGACCATAGCCACCTACATCCCTCCATCTCTCGGTTGAAGTACCCCTTCGACCTCCCTTCTTCTCCTTCTGTGAATAAGGGAAGACGCCCCCTCTTCGACGACCAATTGAGCCTCTGAAGGAGGAAGATCTGAGCGGAGGCGATTCGTCGGCTTGACAGAAGGTCCCTCCTGGGGATTGGCTAACTTTACTATGGGCATTGCAGTGGTTTCCACTGATCCGGTGATGAGGGCAATGGCTCTATCCGTGTCATGATTAGTCCCCGGCACGACCGACACCGCGGTCATTCGTAGAACTGACCTATCAAGCAGATCCTCAAAGCGGCGAGAGCCTGTGAACTTCTTGATCGATTCAAGATGGACTTTCTCTTCCTTAGACAGAGCTCTCTTGGCAAGTGCATCCCTCCGAATCTTGGGCCAATCAGAACAGCACATCTCCAAGTCATCCCCAGCCACCCATACAAACTTCTCCTTCCATTCTTTAAGAGAATCTGGAAGATCTACGATTAACTTAAATGCTCCCGACATCTGAAAGTAATAGTGGGGCTCTCTTTGACTCCCCTTTACAACCACAAAATAAGCAAATAGCTTCGGTGTAGGTCTGATGGCCAACCAGCTACATATGACCACAAAAGCCACGACAATGGCAATGACGTTCGGTTTCATTTGTGCTGCGAAACCCCCAAATCCCTGAATAATTGCTTCAAGAATGAAGGCAAGGGTAATCTTAAGCCACACTCCAAGTGGTTCAGATAGAGGGGGTGCCGTGTAGGCCCATGGTCATAAATAGCCTCTGATCCTATCAGGATGGACAACTTATATCCCTCAGGAATGTCAAACTTCGTAGACAATGTCTTCAATTGGGCCAAAGTCACCTTCGAGTGAATAATCTCCAGATATTCCTGACGGTTAACTGTTTCCAACTCCATGGAGAGATGAAGGGACAATCAGCGAAAAAAGACAAGTTGGAGAAGAATTGAGAAAAACAGTATGATCGAATAAGAATCTCGAACGACGATATATAGTTTTCTGCTTTACAACTATCAATGTATCCGAGCCGTTGGAGCCCATTTCATCCCGCGGCTAAGATTTAGCCTTGGAATTTAAAATACTACCGAATGACGTTTCGCCTCCTCTCCTCAAAAAGCCTGCGATCTGACAAAAGAACAATCCCGACACAGTCTTATTGATGTCCGGTGACGTCAGCATCCAGAAAGAACGCCATCTCACTGTCAAATCCAGTTCTCCTCCTACTCGATCTTTGTTTACTTATTGTTTTCCCTTGGATCCGGCCACAACCACATCCAAGCGAAAGGGGCTATCTGTTATAGGGTGTCCCCTATTCTCCACAAATATGTAACCCCGCAAGCCGACACCTTTACCCACCAGGCGGACCGGCTCGGAAGATATTGTTGGTCGATTCAAGGCATCTCGACCCCTCAGCCGAGCCGACGCAATCTGCCGACTCGGAAGACAGTGTTCGACGGTACGAAAATCAGCATTCTAGATATTCCACACTCCTCGGAGTCGACCTTGAAAGACAGCCGAGCCGTCACTCCCCCAATCGAGTCGACATCATTCCTCAAAGGCGACTCGAGAGGCGGACCCAGTCGACCCTCTTCATATCAAAGGATTACTACTTAGCGTTAGCCGACACTCCTCCCAATGACGATTTAGAATATTGCTTCTCAACATTTTTTAACCTTTGATGATCATCATTATGTCTCCCGTCGCTCACTGACAAGCCTCGTCGGCTGTTGGTTCCCCATATCGCTGAAGTGACCTCCCATCGCTCACCGACAAGCCTCGTTGGCTGCTGGTTCCCCATATCGCTGAAGCGACCTCCCGTCACTCATAAACCGACACGTATAGAGCAAAGGGTGAGTTAACCTCCAGCTCACCCCTCACCACCATCTAGCGCACACTCATGAAGTGACTAATCTGCCCTTGGCATCCTCTATAAATACAGACACTATTCGTCATAAAAAGAGGTTCGGTTTTTCGCAATCAAAACCCCCCATAAAGCACATACTATACAGAAAGAAGAACACACTATTCTTCCCTCACCCCACACAAGTTCACTAACTGACTTGATCGTCGGAGGTACCACGGGGGAAACAAGCCCCGTCCTCTTACGATCCTCGCGTGTGCAGGTCCATCGTCCGTCCCAAGTTCTAAAAACCAGGCACAAAGTCGAAGTAGGAAGCGGCCCCCCCCCCTCGACGACTCAACCCCTCGACAACTCAACGACTACGTTACTTCGATCGACTGTGTGATCTCGGACATCAATAGTTGTTATTCAGTATATATGTGGACAACTTGTTTGATTCAGTATATATTGTTTGATTATTATTTGATTACCTATATATTGTTTGATTTATGGCGAAAATTGTATGTAAATTATTATGAAATGTATTTAGAAAAACCATTGCGTATATAAAAAAATATGCACAGCAGACTGTGCATGTTTTTTAAAACCTGCAACTTCACGGGACTTGAAGTCCCGTAAAGTTACAGACTGAATTTCTGGAGTATGAAAATTCAGCTCAAACTTCAGGGGACTTCAAGTTCCGTGAAGTTTCATTTTTTTCCCCCGTCAAAACCGACCTAGTTTCAGCCTGACGGCTAAAACTAGGTCGGTTTTGACGAATATTGTTGAAATGAGTAGTTTTTGGGAATATTTTTGTAAATGAGATGTTTTGAAAATTTGTCCTATTGCGATCTGTTTCAAAGCGAATTGAAGATGATATCAGCGGGTTCGGATCCCAAGTGGATCGTACAGAACCCTACACCCGACTCCTCAAACGATTCGCAAACAAAAAATGCCGATGAAATGAAACAATTTGGGGGAAGAAAGAAGATCTGCAAGGAGATTCTCTCGTCTCCCCTGCCTAATTCGACCGTTCCTTTTTCTCAAATTTGAAACCAGGAAAGCCATCAGTTGGGGATTTAGGGGAAATTGGGCAGGGTTTAGGATCCCGATCGTATGGCATCGGCACAGGTCCCGCCTAATTCGAGGAAGTTAGGGCATCTCGAAGCGGGGAAGAAAAAGGTAGGATCTTGAATCTCGAAGCGGGCTAACACCCGTTGCATCTTAGCCGCCGGATAGTTTTTTTTTCCGATTTAAATCCAAAGTTATGCGTTTAATTTAGTTTTCAAACACTTTCTTTTGAAAAATAGATTTCCATATACGATGCTGTTGCAGTAGTCAGTAGCCAAAGTTGAGTTTCTTTAACAGATTCAGAGCTGAACTCTAATAGTTTGGGGAAATATAATCAGAGGAAGATGTCTTATAGCTACTATATGGTGGCATTGTAGATAATCCGATCTTAGGTCTACCCTTAAACGATAAATGCATCAGAAATCACACAATTAGCGAGCAGTTTTCTTGCTGAAGGGAACATAAGGGTTGGCTTCTGCAGTAAATGTCTATATTACACTAGTCTTCTGGGGTTTTTGGCTGGTTTTTTGTCCTCGAGAGTCGGGATAATTGACAAATTGATTGAGTATGCACCTTTGATTGAGAAGTTTCTTTGGAAGATTTGCAGAATTTGTGTATTATCTTGATACAGGGTAACAGGAATTAGCATAATGACCTGGCCTCCTTGTCATTGGCATGTATTTCATTCTAGATCCCGTATCATGTACTCAACGATTTGCTTCCTACATGTAGTGCAGCGTGATTGGACCCAGTTGGAAGAAACCTAAACTGTAACAACTACGAAGTATATGGAAGCTCGAATCTAAGTAGAATGCAGAAGAGTAGTTATGCCCTGCACCTCCACCCCACCAAAAAAAAAAAGAAAAAGAAAAAAAAAGAAAAAGAAAATAAGTGTCTTTTGCTCCTCTTCTCACTGTACTTTACTGGAAAACATGTCAATTTTCTAGTCGGTGCATAATTTTGTTGATCTAAGTAGACACTTAACATCCTAATTCCTAACCTCAATTCGTTGAAAAGGTTTATGGAGGTCATTTTTAAAAAAAAATTGAATTACTGTTGTAGTCTGGTCTTTAGCATTGACCTGTTTCTACTTTTTCTAGCAATGAGTATGTAAATTTTTTTTATGTTATTATTATTTTAGAGTTACAAGGTGTTTGAAACTCCTTTCTCAGTTGGAGGAGTTCCGTAAGAAAAAGGCTGAAGGACGAGCTAAAAAGGCTGCATCTACGGGGCAATTGGTATCTGCTGATGTAGATCAACAACAAAAAGTCCCTCAAAAGAATGAGCATGTGAGAGATGGAACTACAGCTTCTACTGATACTGATTCCTGTAGGTCGAGTTTTACTGGTCAAAATGAAGTAGTTGATTCTTCCCATAGCACAGAGGTTCACTCCTCAAACAGGATGCATGGTAGCTCTCCTGTCTTGTTTGACGGTAATCATGCATTATATGGTGAAACAGTACAATATGCAGGGAAAGAAGTACCTAATGTATATGAAAAATCTAGCTTCCCTCAACTTGTTAATGGTTATCATGATCAGTGGAAGGAAAATAGTGATCTTAATCACAAAAAGAATGCAAAGGTCGAAACATCCTGTGCTAATGCAACAGATCAGTCTGACACTTTTAGTGCAGCGAAGCCAAATTCATACCTTGATATGAACATCAGTAATTCAGGTTTGCATTCATTTTCCACTGCTCCACCTAATGAAGGTATATATTTATCAAAGGTTCGCTTGAGTCATCCTGAAACAGCTTTTTCTAATTCCTTGAGCACTGCCAAGAACCCAGAGATGGCTTCTGAACGAAACAGGCTGGGGTTTCCAAGCACTTCAGCTAGCACTTCGGTATTACATAAAGGTAAAGGTAAATTCTGGTTCTATGATTGGTTACCTATGATTTTGTTTTCTTGAGTTAACTCCTTTTAAGGACTGTTGTTATGTTTGCGACCATGATAAACAGAATCATCTCCTGAGATGGAGTTCTCTTATCCTGGTAGCTCGTACAAAAACAGTGGTACTGATATTGGCATCATAGGAGGGAAGATTGCTCCCTCCACTGATTACAGCGTTAATGTTGACAGTGCCCGTTGGCACGCAGGAGAACCTTCATACAGAGATCCTAGTTTGGTTTATAAAGGCACACAATATGAAGATCCCTTTCCTCCAACTGGTTTTGGAACTAATTCTGGTCGATCTCGTCCATCTTTTCTTGATTCTCTAGGTGTTTCTAGAGGTTCTTCAATGTTTTATGCTCCATATCAAGAGCCTGAGAAAGCAAATATGCCTGGATCGTTTGATATTTCAAGGGCTCAAAGTACAGAGGTTCCATTATCTTCTCCTGCAAAGCCATTTGGAGAGCTCACCCCTGCTAAACACTCTTTAAATTCAACCACTTATAGTTTTAAAAGTGATAATAAGTTACCCATGGAGACTTTTGTTTCTTCAAACAATGAGAAACTGGTGAAGCCGGCTGGGGATCATCATGCACAGAGGGACCATGAGTTCACTTCAAAGGACGAAGATTTTGCAGCTCTGGAACAGGTGCACTTTTGTTTTGATTTGCATCTTTCTTCTAAGTGTGCCTACGATAGTTTCTTGTTAATGCTAATGCATATACTGTTATGAAAATATACTGTTTAGACATTGGAACCAAACAGAGGTTTGTTATGCTTGTATTATTGTTTAAAATCTTGTTTGTTCTGTTACAACATACAATTCAGTCTTTAAACATGCATGGACAAATACTGCATGAGTAGATTAATAATTATAAAGTCAGTTTTGTGGATTGAACATGAAGTTTCTTTGTCAAACTAGATGTTGACAGACTGAATAGATCAGAGCAACCTTTGAGGAATCTCACTACTTGAAAATTTATTCCTCTAGTGTCAAATTTTGTTGTTGTGGGTGGTTGTTTTGGACTCTTAAAAGGTGTGAATCTATGTTTACTTAGATTTCTGCTTGCAACAAAGTAGTCATCTTATATTCCCTGTATAGCATATTGTCGGGTCCATTTTATTAGTTCACGATTCTTCTTTCTGTGCAGCATATTGAAGATTTGACACACGAAAAGTTTTCACTTCAAAGAGCTCTGGAGACATCAAGAACATTAGCAGAATCCTTAGCTGCTGAGAATTCATCTTTGACAGAGAGCTATAACCAGCAGGTTTGTTCTCCAAATACCTGGCAGGCATGAAACTTAGTCCCTAACTATAAAATAAGATTTTCAGTTAAAAGAATCCTCTTTCCTTTCACACTTGTACTTGTGATCCTTTTTGACTTTTAACACTTAGTTGAGGACACTGGTTTAGTTGTTTACCTGATGGTATATCTATTTTGAATTTTTCATGCAATCTGTCAGTTTCTTAACTATACTGCGTATTTGAGATGCATACTGATCATGTATGGTAACAGTTTCATTTACCTTGTAGTCCCTTTTTGTTTTTGGTGAAGTTAGGGCACTCCTTGTATTCGTATGATCTTAAACTGCATGGTCAGAAGATGCTTTCGTCCTACCTGCTGATTAATCTTCATTGTTCTATTTTTTATGGTCCTTGCTTGGTAACAGGTACTTTGTTGTCAAGTACAAGTATCGTTTAGAGGGTTGGCATAAGTTGCCAGCTGCTTAGGCATCTTGATTGGTCATTTAAAATTTTCTTGATTCTAAGCCTCTTTCTTCGTAACTGGTCCCTTTTGCTTGGTAACAGGTACTAAGTTGCCAGCTGCTTAGATGATGATTTTAGGTCTGTGTTATGTCCATGTTTTATTTGCTTTTTGTCTTAGCCTGTTCTTTTATCCAGCAGAAAAGAACCAAAATCCTTAAAAAGGAATGACACTATTTAATTAAACTAGAAGCCTAAGCTTAAACGTAGTATTTAGGATGTATGCATTCCACGTTTAGAAATTGACAGAAAATTCATTCTGACAATTCTTTACCTGTCGTGGGGAGTCTGGAAACAACATAAACTAAATGACTGGTTTCAACTGAGGTTTGGTCTAGGCCTTCTTGTAATCATGGAAGAAAGGCAATGAGGGAGAATGTGGCAAGGAGTGATAAGAAAATGAACAATAAAGCCCTGATGGTTTCTAAACCACTCGAGCAGACATAGATGGTCAGGCGAAAGCTTTTTGGGCGGCAGTCATGTTCTGGGCCAGCAAGCTATAAAGCAAACTTCAGACTGCGCCATGGACTTGGGCCTTTGGATACATATAAAACTCCAACCTAAAAGATGGCACACTTTAAATGGTAGAATAATGGAGGTTATATAACAAACTTTTGTCATGAGTAGTGAGGTTTGACCTTTGTGCTTTCTGAAGTGCTTTGCTACCACGTCGATCAATTACTTTGCTCAAAATTAGCAATTGATGTTTGTTGGTTGCACAAAACAATCTTAACAAACTAGAGTCCTAAAGGAATAGTTGGGGGAGAGGAAGTGGTTTTCCGGGGTTGGAGTGTGGGCTAACCTGGTCAACCATTCTTTTAGTGCTCCTTTATAATCCTCTCCCGAGCTTCTTACCTTATTCTTAAGAGTTTGAATGAGAAAGCATGGTCATAATTTGGATTTGAACTACGATCTCGATTCGGTTGGTTGCAACCTTTTAGTAATTTACAAATCTCACACCACATCTGCGAAACCTATTGCGGTATTCAATTGATCTAGTTATGAATCGTTCTCCTGCCAGCCCATATGTACACACATGCAAGCAATGCACATTGCAGACCTCACAAGAAGAACAAAGAAGAAAAAAAGAACATGAAAGTTTATAATTCTTAGATCTGTTAATAATTTTTGCAATGTTCATGACAGATACTCTTATCGCATTCTTGAAGAGAACCCATATGCATGTTGATATCTACCTTAAAAGTTATTAGTTATTACAGACATCACTTAGTATCACACCTTTCTAGTAAGCTCATGGCTGATGCATTTATAGTTTAATAATACTAATTTCTTTGACTTAAGCTAGTTAAATTATGACATTATTTGCAGGCATGAAGTATTATTAAAATGTAGTATTTTTGAACAATAAAGCCTACTGCTTCACTATTGAGCTGCAGTTCAGTCTTGTACATTTGTTTTATTGCAGAGACTATGAAATGGTCTTTATTAAGGCGAGTCTTTATTTTGGAGTTTGTATAGCTCTTTTTGATTCAAATATAAAATTGTGTTCCAGGGCCAAATTGTCAGCCAATTGAAATCTGACATGGAAGGGTTGCAGGAAGAAATCAAGGCTCAACTGGTCAGTTCGTTTTCATCCTTGATGTCACTTACCTTTTCCATGATCTGCTACATCTGTAGAATTATGTTTATAGGAAATTCGTACTGAAGTATCCTGCCACATGATGAATCACACAGATAGAGCTTGATTGCTTCAAGCTAACATGATATGATTCAAGACTTCTTAATCCATGGAGCCTTCTCTCAGAGTTAGTTCAATTCTTTGTGGAGAGGCGGGCAAGTGATTTTTTTTCCTTTAAAGACATTGATAAGAGAGGGTGTGCTTTTAGTGAATTATGGATTGTTGAATTGGAAGTACTGTTTCTTTTAATACCTGAAGATAAAATAACTCATTAACTACAGTCTAATCTGATACTAGTACCATTCTGACACTGTTCTGGAGATTTTGATCTGAAGTTGATGGGGAATGACAAGGAGATTTCTTGCGGGAACTTATTTGGATAAAACAAAATGAAAAATACAATAATGAAATTGCATTCTTCATTTAATAAAAAGAAAATATACAAATGTTGGGCCTCACACCCATCCTATAAAACCTAAAATGAGTTCTGAAGAACTATCATACTTTCTTTAAAAGTATGAGTTCGGAAAAATCTTTTTATGACCAATATTACCCTTAATTTTTTTAAATATTATATTGTTATCCTAATCTATTCTAATTATCCTATCTTTTTTAAATTGGTAATTAAATGTTTTATCATATTCATAATGTGACTTAACATGTTATTGGATAAAGAAGATACGTTTAATATAATTCAAATCATTTACTTATTTTAGTTCGTAGAGAACTACAAATATCCCCTACATAATTTATAATTTATTGAAAAAACCTCTAAAGTTTCAAAAATTACAAACGAACACTCATAATTCAAAATTTATAAAAAACACCTTGAGAATTTCTAACTCATTAGTAAATTGAAAACATACGAATTATAAATAGTCTATAAACAATTTATAATCTATAGAAAAGGTCTATAAATTTAAAAAAGTTGCAAAAAACCCCTAAAATTCATAATTTACGAAAAACACCGTTAGAATTTCCGACTTATAGACACTAAAATGAATATACAGAATTATTAACAACCCCCAGAAAATTAAAAATTTGCAAAACATGTCATGCTCCCTTTAAAAGTATAGGTTTAGAAAAAACTTTTCATGATCAATATTACCTATAACCTTTTTGAAAAGAACATAACTAATTAAAAATCTATTAAATTTAAAATTTACAAAAAATCTTAAAGTTTAGTATATTGCAAATTACCCCTTCAAAGTTTGAATTTTTTTAATGATTTTTTTATAATTCCTTGATTTTAATGTAATGTTTAATAGTTTTGTGTATTTATAAATTACAAAATTTTAGGGTGTTTTTTATAATTTTTAAAACTTTTGAAGGTGTTTCTTTTGTAGTTTTTCAAATTTTCATTGAGTTTTCAATATAATGCATAAATACGTCAATTAATGATGATATTAACGAGTAAGTCGTTCTTAAGATGTATTATGGCATAGTTAAGTGTGCACATCACTATTTTTAGACAGTACAGTTATATATGCAAAAAATTTCAGACAATCTATATAGTGGTTAAAAAGATTTTAATTTTAATATATTATTTTTTATAAATTATATTTAATGTGAATCTACCATATAATTTTAATATGTTTGATTAATTGACTATATAGGTATATAGACCATAAATTACTTTACTTTCTCACATGAGCTAATATTAGGCGCTTAATAATTTAAATTATTACTTCTAAAGTTAATATAAAGAGGAGCTTTAATAACATCTAATATCTCATTTATTTATTCTTTGTTCGATAGTTATGCGTATCAAATTAGTAATTATAATAATAATTATTTATGCTTAAATTAGGATGATTGTAGTTGGTCACTTATTATGAAATTTCTATGAATATATACACCTTACTTTCTATAGCTATCTGCATTGCTCATGTATATTTTATAAATTAGTTGTTAATTTGATATATTAAATTATTTTTCTTTGTAGAAATTTCTTCTTTGATTTTTAAATTGTGTAATCACTATATCACCATTCTAGCGTAGAAATAACCTCACTCTAAATGGCTTCAAACTAATATTAATTTAAGTTGAATTGAAGTATATACTATTGCTACTATGTGTATTTATTTTTTAAAAAATCATGTTGACATTTTTTTAACAAAAGAGAATATTTTAACATCTGATATTGTATAAACTAAATATAACCAATTGAGTGATTAGCAAAAAAAAATTTACATCAGAAAAGCGTGAATAATAAGATAAAGAGAAAAGTTAATGGTATTACCAACAATAATACTAATAGCAAACTACAATGTAAAATTAACTTATTTTGTGGAGCCCAACTATTGGCTATAAACATCGAGGTTTTCATATATATACTTTATAATTTATTAAAAAGGGTTATATAATCTTATATAATAAAATTGATTTAATACTGAATAGTAATATCATTATACTAATATCATTATTAGGAAAAATTCTTCGTGAACCAGTATGTGCTTTACGATATATAAGTTATGCACTCCAAATTCTTGTGTCTTTTATAGAGTCAAAAAGTTTGAATACAAGCTTAACATTTTGCTCTCACAATAGCAAAATCCATTTAGCAGATGTGGATATTTCAGATAAGTTATATGACCTATATACAATACAATTGCCGTAGGCAAGTGAGTTATAATAGCATTTTTCATTCACATTGTTTGGGGCAAGATTTGATAGAGATCTTGCATTAAAGAAAAAAAATTATATTCAGAGCACATGGCTAAATATATCATAATCTCACCGCTCTAATTTTGTAAAAAAATAATTATTTATACTTTCAATTTTACTTCTATAATAAGGAGAATGAGCTATAAAATTGAATGTGAATATTAGATAATATTAATAAGAGTGCTCTCACAACTAAAAGTTAACGCGAATATGAGCTAAACTACAACTAAAAGTTTAATGGATATATCGTAAGTAAATTCGTATGCAAAATTACTTTGCGAATTGAATGATCACCCATCTTTTGAAGACTTTAAGATACTAATAAACGGAGATGTTGTACTAGATCAATGTGTTTATAACTCACAAATAGTAGATCAAGTGGCCACAGTCTGAGTTGAAGAAAACAATGATAATATTTCATTTGAGAGAGAGGTTATTGAGTTGATGATCAATCACACAAAAAACTTTGTTTTCTTTTTTATTTTTATTCAATTTTTATCAATTTAAATAATCATCATATTCAACCACGTGCATTGCACGTGCATCTCAACTAGTAATACTATATGTATGTACCTCTATCATATTTCTATTGTAAAAAGATCAAAAGCAAATGTACGTTTTAATAATTGAACGGTAAAAAATTATGTACGAAATTTCATGATTTGTTGGAGTATGAATTATTTCTAGCAATATAATTTATTCAGTGATATCCAGAAAATCTTATTGGATTTTAAATATATTATTTAAACTATTTTCTCTTCATTTTAAAGTTTGGATGAGAAAATTATTTCTCAATAAGATATGTTTTCTAAGTCTAAAGATGCATGAGACAAAATAGATCTATATGCTCATGTGATCAAACTATATATATAGTGTATACTTGCATTGTAATATTTTAAGAACAAAGTCTTAAGAAGATGTCATTAGCAATGAAAGTATTATTATCAAATCTAAAGATTTGTCAGAATTTTAATTTCTTCATTTTTAAGCAATTTATTTTATTAATTTAAATGTATAAAAAATTAGTTAATTAACATGCACATTTTATGTAGCTCCACAGTGAATACTTTATCATTTTCTGAATAATTGTATAATGGCGATCTTCCAGCAATTTTTCAGTTTTTCCAACAACTTATTAAATTATTGCTTTTAAGAGCAGCTCACCACCGAAGAACTTAATACTAGTTCAATGCTTGATTTCCAGAGTGATTCTTCACTGACAAATCAAGATATTAATTTACAGGATTAAATTTAAATATGTTGTGAAGGGAAATTGTGCAGATGGTTGTTCACAGACAGAATGATGAGAAGCCTGCCGTCTCTTGTGATGTAGTTGTTCTTAAACATTACTATGTTGTTTCTGGACCTACTCATTAGTCGTTCCTGCTCAAAAGTATTGTTGTGCATTTATCCATGTTAATGTAATCGTCTCATCTCATATTTCAAGATACATGCGTTTCTCTGTGTTAATATGTGATATGTCAGATGCAGAATTTTATTTATATCATTCTTTTATGCCGTTATGTAACGCAGTTGGCTATTGAATCTGTAAGATCAGAGTATGTGAATGCACAAATGGAATGCAATGCTGCAGATGAAAGAGCAAAAATACTTGCATCTGAAATCATTGGCTTGGAAGAGAAGGTAGTTCCTGTTTCTTTTTGGTAGTTCTCTCTATGTACCCTACTGTCTTGAGAAAGCTTGCTATCCCTAGTATTTAGAATGGTTATCAACTTATCATTGCTTTCTACATCTTTGTGAATTATCTGTTTAATCAATTTTGGCTTGATAATTTGGAGAATTTTTGTCTATTCTTCAATCAGTATCTGGAAGCTGCAGCAGTTATTTGAACTCAAATTAATTTGTGATTTTTATGGACTTGTTTTTCCTCCATATTTTGATCCTGTTTCTTGTGGAGAAATTTTCTCTGCACAAGCTCACGGCATTGTTGATCTTGTAGTTATTTGAACTCAAATTAATTTGTGATTTTTATGGACTTGATTTTCCTCCATATTTTGATCCTGTTTCTTGTGGAGAAATTTTCTCTTTCTGTATTTTAGTTTGATGTATGTTGTACGGGATTATATCCTGATTTACACAAGGCTTATTGATGAAGACATGTCAATGCATTTTTTATCCATTTGTCTTCTTAGGGTTATTGCTGTATATTGACAACAGAATTACAGGATTACAGGATGCAGTCTGTGATATGTATTCTACTAGTTATCTCTGCACACTTGCACAGCTGTTTATATAAGTTTGTCCAGTTTTTCTTTGGCGCAATATGGTCATGTTTGATTTATCTAGTGCGTTGTTAACGCCAGACCCAGTAAAAAGAAACCTTTAGTGTAATTGAAAACATTCTATTGTTATGCATTAGAGCAATGACGGAGCCCGGGGGCTGGGGGTGGCCATGACTCCCTGGCTTTTTACAAGAAGAGGTAGGTATATGAGATTTTCTCATATTAGTCTCTCAAATCTTTCTTACTTGACTGCCAGAACTGGCCAAACCGAAACCGCATCGCATGTTTGCTGAAACCAAACCGAACCGACCATATTCAGTTCGCCTGTTTGAGTCGGTTTCATCGGTTGGGTAAGTGGGTAAGTGCAGTTGCAAATTTTGAGATCAATTATATTGGGTAGCTAGTATAAGTTTATAACAACAAGAACAATAAGAATGATATAGTTTCACAAGTATATTGAGAGGTGGCACTCAAACAACAGGCGAGCCAACCTTGAATTGGTGGATCCTTCAACCATTTAGAGATTGAAACATTGCATTTTATTTTTTGTATCCTTTTGGACGGCAAAAGAATAGAGATGAGCATTGAGATGTGGAGAGAGATAGGGAGGCGAAGGATCAGTTTCCTCAGGAATTGGGAATTAGAGTTTGTTAACCACAATTGTCTCAGATTTTCACAGAATCACGTCAATCGCGATCAAACTCAATTTGGTTTGGATATTAACCCTATAACCCAAATACCCACTCTATATTACTATAATCTTTGGTTGGATTGGGCAGTTTGGGTTGATATCTTTTCAACCCGATCTGACCTGAAGCAGATTTGGAACCGAACCTAATTGTCCAAGTTCGGGCAGTTCTGTCAGTTATTGCGTTTCATGCTGAAGTATGCTCACCCCAGTAGTAGTTAATCAAAGATCAGTATTTACCAAATCAACCATAGTCAACATTGGAATCCACCAAAATTAATAGTTTTAAGTCTCATAGAATATGTTCCGACATGTACTCGAGTGAATTGTTTTCGGAGTTTGGGTTTGAATGGATATGGGCATAATTTCTTTTACAACCAAAACTGTGCACATGATAAGAATATTCTCTCAATTTCGACAACTCTCTAAGTAGAGGGAGTAATTTATTTCGCTCAAAAAGAATTAGGGGACATATGGAAAAACCTTTTTGTGTAGTTTTCTTTGCATTTCAAGTATAGTGGGGAAATAAGGTTTAAATTTTTGTACTGTTGCATTTAATATTAGAAATTTGAAATAGAGTTTGTATTTCTTGTGGTCTTACAATTTTGTAATGGAACTGTGAAATGGGGCTTTTCCAATTTTAGAAGTTTTACATTAAGAAATCGATATATATGAAATGATTTTTTTTAAGTTCGTGTACTCCTACAGTTAATCTTTCATACTTGAAATTAATGGCTTAAGTAATTGAAATTTTGACTATGTCCTTGAATTCTTAAGTTATTTTGAAATTCCTCGAATTATTAGAATTAGTATTACATCCCCTCAATTCTCATGTTTTTCAAGTTAGTTCTAATTGCTAATTCTACTCTTTATTGGAGAGACAAATTTCAAAAATAAAAATAAGAAAACGTTGTGAGTCTAGGATTGAGAACATTTAACTGGTTAAGATGTAGATCCATGGATAAGAAAGAATAAGTGACTGAACTAACAAATTAGTTAATATAATGTTACCTCATCCCCAATTAAAACAAAAGACCTTTTTTTTCTTTACTTCTATTTGGAGTTTTTCTTTTACTTATTTACATATATGAAAATTTATTATATATTAATATATTTGACCCTTTTTTGATTGATGTATAGCATATTGGTTGTACTTTACCCCACCCCCTCACCCCCCAACAAAAAAATCCTTGCTCCGTGACTGCATTAGAGTATCGGCATGTATTTGTCATTTAGCTGTGCATGTGTAGCCAGGTCTTGTTTGCAGCCACGTTGTGCGCGACTGATATCAGATTAGAGACCCATAATTCCCGGTGAAAGAGAGAACTTATTTAGATATTAATATCATTTTATGCATTGATATTATTTGGGAATTTGTGCTGTGCATAAATAGTTATGTTTTAGTACCTTTGCTGGTATTATATCAGCATGATTTTTTTCTCTCTCTCATGAGTGGTTGCTGATCTAATTCATTCATGGAATTCTGCATAGGCACTCAGATTAAGGTCAAATGAGCTGAAGCTGGAAAAGCAGTTGGAGAACTTGAGTTCTGAGATCACATCATACAAGTATGTATAATATTCTCACTTTCTTCTGATTTAACTGTATGTTAATCTCTCCCTAATATTCAGTGAATTGGAAGAAAAGAAATTGATTGGTTCAGCATCCATCTGTCTGCAACTTTGGAATAGAGTGAACACTTAAAAGAGGCGTTTGCATGATTACAAAGTTGGTTTGTCTTTTCTAGGCTCTAAATCATTGCTGATTCTGTAGTAGTCTACTAAGATGAGGGCTGCAATTCTGAGCAAGACACAAATGTACAGTTTGGTCCAATGATGGAAAATAACTTGTTCACGCACAATTAGTTGTGACTTATCAAGATGGTGCTAAATGTGCTCAGTTTAGAGCTCGAATATTAGATTTCTAAGCTTTAGCTATATGGTACTCTGTCTTGTCTAAGCTTGTTAAGCTTGAGTAATATGTAAGTCTTTTGAACATTCTGATTTAGAGTAGTAAAGAGTAAAGAGATCATATTTGCACACCTACTTCTTAATTGCACAATTACTTCATTCTTCACCAGTCATTTCTAAGCTTGAGGGTTAACTAATCTTTTCTCTATTTCTGCATTCATGCAGGCGCAAAGTGTCACTTCTAGAGAAAGAGCGCCAAGATTTTCAATTCATGGTTGATGCCCTGCAAGAAGGTATAGAATCCTTTTCAACGATGTCTCATCTCTTATATGTTACCTTTTGGATACTGCATATGTCATTACGAGACCTTTTCCCCCCTTTACTGCAAGTTATCAGATCTTCTGTACCTAGAAGCTTCTTAGTACTTTCAATAGTTCTTCAATATCGCTTGGTAATTGTTCATCTGGAAGCATCTCCTGTTATCTTCTGAAACTGCTTCTAAATGTTGGATATATTAGAAGAATGCTGTTGTCTTACCTGTTATGAAGGACTGTTCTCTTAGTTTATTATTGTGATTAATATTTTTGTCACGCAGAAAAGAAGCTCTTGCAATCCAAGCTGCGGGAAGTCTCTACAAATGATAAACCTGATGCTAAGAAGATCTCCGTTAGAAAAGATGTTTCTACCTCAACGGAGAATTTAGGTATCGAGTCTTGTTTTTCCCCTGCTGTTCACTCATCACATGATAATATGTTTAATATGTTTTAGCCTGTAAATGATGTTAACCCAGGACCTGGTGTTCGTATAGCATGTCAGTTAATTACCTTAGCCAAAAGCCTAATCTAAAGGTTTTTTTTTTACAAACAATGCATATCAAGCAAAGTTAATCTTTTAACTGCTAGCTCAAGCCTATATGCATAGAGTAATTCTAATAGGATCAGACGACGTTATTCAGCGACTGAATTGATTCAAACTCGTCTTAACTGGACTGTTCAGTATTATTCAGCAGCTAAATTAATGTTAACAGCTGATAATTATTGGATCAATTCAGCGATTATGTGTATTATTTGGTTTCTCTGTACAGCTTTAAGAAATTTCCATGATGTGTCATCCACTCTCCAGGTGTTGAGCCTTTCAATTTGGTTTATGGAGAAACGAGTACTGCAAATATGATGCTGAACGATTCCATAAATCAAGTGCAAAGTAGTGCAAGAATGGTTCCATCTACTGATACTTCTACATCCTCTCCGTTGCCTGAAGATGGGACATTTGCTCTTTCAGATGCTTCTGGTGATATTCCACATGATCAACATAGAATGGTCGAAAATATTAATTCATTGATATCTGAGGTAGTAAGCCCTTCCTTCTCATATTATCATGATGAAAACTAAGGCACATGTCATGCTTTATGTCATGCTTTCCTTTCATCTTGTAAACATTGAACTAATTAAATTAGTTTGGAACTGAACAGTTGGCTTTGGAGAAAGAAGAGCTAGTTGGAGCTCTGAAAATTGAGTTGATGAATTGTGCCAAGCTGAAGGTATTGTACATTATCATTTCAACATAAGTTGGAATGAAAATAAATATTCAATATTTCACTTGTTCGATATGTTTTGAATACACATATAAATTCCATATGTTTCAAATGTGTATCCTGTCTTTGTTTCTAAAACCATTTATTGAATAGATTCTAGTTATCGGGTTCTATTATCATAAAAAGGTTCTCATTTTTTAGGTTAAAATCCATGTCATTCAATTATATTATTCTTTGCAAACTGATGAATTCTTATTTGCAGAATGTTGTCCATGCTATAACCTTATACTGACTGCTGATATATGGGCCAAAGCTTCTATGTGCATTGTATTTAGACATTTCCATGCTGTCGCCTTTCTTTCGTTGCTTATATTTTCTTTTTGTTAAAGGACTTGAACAAGGACCTGTCACAAAAACTGGAGGCACAAACACAGAGACTAGAGCTTCTGACTGCCCAGCGAATGGCTAATGAAAATATCTTGGCAAGACCCTTAGACACCCAGAGTGTGCAAGATACAACAGAATATGCTGATGAGGGAGACGAGGTATCGTACTGAAGTGCTATTGTTAAGTTACCTTTAAAAGGAAATATATTCTCCTAGACGTGTTAAGCATTTCTGGATGAATACATTTAGACCCAAAACATATTTTCGAGTCAATGTTCTTTCACATATTTAGACAGCAGAAAATCTGCAGTTGACTATAACTACTACGTCAATACTAGTTGAAAGCTACCTCCAATACATAGCTTCTCTAAGATTTACATTCACACCTTTAGTTATATATTTCTGCTAAGTGTTATCTACTGTTACCTCCTGTAGGTGGTTGAAAGGGTTTTGGGTTGGATTATGAAGCTTTTCCCAGGAGGTCCATCGAAGCGTCGCACCAGCAAACTTCTGTGATAATCATTGTTTTATTTCGTCTTTGTAATTTTCATTTGTTTATTAATATGGGTTTTTGGATAGAATCCTTTATCATTGTACATTGCGTCATTCTTTATTACAGAAGAAAAATGAAATATGGGGTTTTGTTCCATGAAATGTGCATGGAAGAACCCCCTTCTGCGTGGAAATAAGTTGTGTGGCCCTTCTTGTTGTCAGTATCTTTGTTTTCTTTTCTCGGAGAAGTGCCTGCGTATCTATTGGGCCTACGAGAACAAAATGTAATGGACTCTTCATTTACGTTAACTTTTTCTCCCCTTTGTCTGTGTCCTTTCAACTCTTTTGATGGTTTGGTGTGAAATCATACATATATTTGTCTTCTTTTCTCAGAGAAGTTCCTGCGTATGTGTTGGGCCTACGAGAACAAAATGTAATGGACTCCTCATTTACGTTTAACTTCTTCTCCCCTTTGTCTGTGTCCTTTCAACTTTATTTTGATGGTTTTGGTCTGAAATCATATATATATATATATATATTATTTATATATATACTATAATATATATATATGAGAAATATGCGAGAACCTTAGTTATCAAGTTGTTTAAGCAACTTAGTAGTGATGTGACATAATCTTGCCCCTACATCACACCTCGAAGATAGAGCCTCAACAATACTTCACCAACTCCCAATGTAGATGTAGGAGACAAGATTAACCACATCACTACCAAGTTGCTTGGAGCAACTTAGTATCAAGTTTCTCCATTTCTCTCTCTCTCTCTCTCTCTCTATATATATTATATATATATATATATATATATATATATATATATATATATATATATATATATATTATATATATAGTATATATAGAGAGAGAGGAGAGAGACGAGAGAGAGAGAGAGAGATTAATGGGTGTCCTATGTCAAGGAGGGATTTCCTCCTGAAAATGATAATGACACAATCCCCACATGTGAATAAAGTAGGAGAGAGAATATCACATGGTGGTGGGATTGTGCCACATCATTTTCAAGGAGGAAATCCCCTCCTATGACAAGGATATCCATTATTCTCATATATATATATATATTATATATAATATATATATATATATATTTATATATATATAATATAATATATATATATATATATATATTTATTATATATATATATATATATATATGAGAAAAATGGGTATACTTGGTACCAAGGATCCTTGTAGGTGATGTGGACACATCTTGTCCATACATCACACCTTGAAGATGGGCTCACCAACTTCAAGGTGTGATGTATGGACAAGATGTGTCACATCACTACAAAGGATCCTTGGCCCAAGTTATACCCATATTCCTCTCTATTATATATATATATATATATATATATATATATTATTATATATTAATTATATATATATATATTATATTATATATATATATATATATATTAGTATATATTTTTATATATATATATATATATTATATATTATAGAGCAATATGGGTATGACTGTGTACAAGCACAAAAGTTGTGCTTGGTAGTGATTGTTGTCACATCCCCATCCACTCATTCAAATGGACAACATTCACATGCGTATTGAGTGGATGGATTGACACATCTACTACCAACACAAAATTTTGCGCTTGTACCAAGCATACCCATTTCTTCTCATATATATTATTATTATATATTATATTATATATATATAATTATTAATTATATATATGATAAATATATATTTAGTATATATATAGAGAGAGAGAGATTGACGAGGAGAGACGAGATAAAACTCTATCCACTATTCACTTAAGTGCGATAGGAGACATTGTTCACCAAACTTTTTATCCATCTCATCTTGTTCTTAAAATTGGTTGTTCAAAAAGATGCCCACAAATTTTAAAAGTCTCATATATCAGACCCCCAATACAATATCCAACGGTTAAAAATTGTTGATGGATAACTTATTCCTATCACTAAGTTGAATAAGCTTTAACTATATATTATTATATATTATATATATATATATATATATATATATATATATTATATATATTTTTATATATTTATATTTATAATCCATATTATATTACTATATATTATATATATCATGAGTGGATAAAAAGTTTGCTAGTGTGGACAAAAGTTCTTTGCTATCCACTTAAGTTGACATAAGCTTATCTCTCGCTCTATCTATATATATGAGGTTGATGATATTTAGCCACAGATCTTCTTTTGATGATGATCTATGAAGATTTAGGCTTCTGTGAGATGTGGGGATCAATTTTGAGGACTGAGCACTTATCCTTTTACCACCTTTTAATCTCTCGAAAAAAATCCTAAGTCCATCACCTCCCTGACCACCATGCTTCCAATCCCATCACCCAACACCCTCTCTCTCACCTCCCTAACACGCTCCATCGGTATAGCCTTTATGTTTTTTCTCCAAATCAAATGGCTGAAGATAGTATAAGTTGAATTTAGTCCCTTTTTCCCGAAATACCCCCACCAACCCAAAACAAAATTGTCAAGCTGCCAAATGTAAACATAGTTAATATGTAAGGGCAGAATAGGTTGAAGAGCAGCTGAACAGTATCAGCTGAAATTTGGTCCTCTTTTTTCCTTGAAATGCCCCTAACCCAAAACCAAAGCATGAAGTTACTAAATGTGAATACAATTAATAGCTTAGGACAGAATAGGGAAAGCCCAAAAAAAAAACCCTCTAGCTTTTATACGACGCGTTATTATGTTATTATAGGCCAATGACCGCAAGGATGTTGGGGGCGACGCCCAGCTATACTCTAACGCCCTTCACGAGCTCTCTTACATGCATCGTACCTACTCTTTTCTCTTTTTTTAACTGTTCTCAAAACCCTTGGCTTCTAGTGAAATTACATGGCTTAAGAGCAACTCCAATGGAGCGCCAAAACTCTATTTTGGAGTGTTTTGACGCTCTAATGGAGCGCCAAACACCCCGCTAAATTAGCGGGGTGCTACAGTGTTGCGCCAGAAATGGCGCAACACTGTAGCGATAGCGCAGTTTTTTTTTTCTAAACTTTATTCTTTTATTCATATTTTCTTTTCTTTTTGCTTTTTTTTCTAAACTTTATTCTTTTTGCTTTTGTTTTTTATATTTATATTAATAATATATATTAACTCATATTAATTATTATAATAAAATTAGAGTATAAAATAATTATTAAAATAAAATTCAAAAAAAAATATTATAATAAAATTAGAGTATAAAATAATTATTCATAAAATATATTATTATAATTAATTATATGTAATGTATTATATAATTACATAATTTGTTAAATATTTTAAATAGATAAAATGTTAAAAGATAAGAATAATAAAAGGAATATTCTTTTTGGTGTAAAATTTGGTGTAATGGGTTGGAGATGGAATAGTGATTTGGTGTAAAAACTACACCAACTTGATGTAAAAACTACACCATTTTGGGTTTTGTGGTTGGAGATGGTCTAAGGACTTCTATCGCTATTCCACAAACTCCCAACTCCTATTTATGCAGGCAACATATCGGTGCAATTAATTCATATTGCATCTAGTCCAGCTTTTCATGAGTGCAAGTAAGCGTACAGAAGTCGACCGTCAATCCATTCGGGACAAATCCCTGGCTTTGGATATTTCACTTCCTCGTGTTTCCTCACAACGCCCAGCTTTTCATGAGCTTTTTACTGGCCAGAGAATTGGATAATGAAATTGTCTTCGCAAGACCCATAGACACCCAGAGTGTTTGTAAATACAACCGAATATGCCGGCGAGGGACTCATATATACTGAAGTGCTATTTTCAATTTCCTTTAAAAGGAAATATGTTCTTGTAGATGTGCTATTTTCAATTGGATTCATCAATCTTCAGAGCACCAATCAAGAAGAGAGAGTTCTTTTGTGAAGCCTATTTACTTTTCTTCTCTTTTATTTTTTTAGTTGATAGTTGTATTAGGCTTTTGGGGTGTGATTTAGGATTGAGTGATTGAGAGATTCCAGTTTGTATTCCTCAATATTTAGTAAAGCTTCTCTCCTTCTTCGCCCGTGGATGTAGGCTACAAGCGGAACCACGTATATCTTTGTATTCGTGTATTCTTAATATTTTTTGTGCTCTTGTGTGATTGATATTAGCTTATCCTGGAGAGTTTGTCATAACATGGGTAATAGGTCCATCAAAGCATCCCACCAGCAAACTTCCATGACAAGCATTGTTTTGTTTCGCCTATGTATTTTTTTCCCGTTGAATATTGTGGCTGCAGGTAGGATAGAGTTCTATACCATTGTACATAGTATCATTCTTTATTGCAGAATAAAAATGGAATATGGGTGTTTCTTCCATGAACTGTGAATGGAGTTATTACACCCTTCGCGTATCACTTCTCCGCGCGAATATCAGCGTAACTTTGATGTGCAATTATCACCTATATTTGCCTGAAAAGAAAGTGAGAGTTCCCATGATTGGATGGTCCTTCTCCCTGAATCCTGGACCTTTCAATATTAAAGATCGTGTTCTGATCGCCATTTTTGCGAATGCTGGTAGGGGTTATCCTTTTAGGCATTTTGCATAAAGGAATTTTGCATAAAGCGGCACACCAGAAGAACATTCAGAACTTGAAATCAACCAAAAAACGCGCGGCACAAATGACAACTGAACGGGAACAGACAATATTAACGGCCTAATACTGCACGTTGAAGATCGAATAAACAAACTCTCAAGTCCTAAACTACGTTCTTTTTCCCAGAACCAAGCCTATGCATCCTTGAGGAAATCTGAAGCAGAAGCTCAGAGACTTTTCTTGATGTAGGCCGCTCCGCTGCAGCCGTTCTTGTACACTGGAGAGCCACCTCGAGCACTTCGAACATCGATGACTGCTCATGTGTTGCCAAGGGTTTCAGAGACGAATCCAGCAACTCCTCGCAGCTCCAAGATTGTGAGCCCATTCTAGATTCGACCCATCTAACCATGTCCATATCATCCCCAAATGACCTAGAGGTAGGCGATCGCCCGCTCGCCAGCTCCATTAGCACTATCCCCATGCTGTAAACATCACTCTTCTCCGTCGCCCTTAGAGAGCAAGCATACTCTGTTCAAAATGGAAAACAAAGATTGATAAATTACGTAGTAATAAAAAAATTATGATATTACTGCCAATGGCAAATATTAGATGCGTACCCGGCGCAATGTAGCCAAAGGAGCCTGCGAATAAGGATTCAGACTCAGTGTAGCCTTTCGAGTTTGTTCTGTGATTTTCAGTGATAAATTTTGCTAGCCCGAAATCACCCAAATGGGCCTCCAAATCTCCATCGAGGAGAACATTGCTCGATTTGATGTCTCTGTGAATGATCTTTGGCACACAATCACAGTGCAGATACTCCACTCCCTTCGCAAGCCCCGTTGCAATTTTCAATCTTAGTTCCCAGTTGAGCTCCTTCCTCTTCTTCTGACTCACCGTAGGCCTGTGAAGCCAGTCCCATAGACTACCATTCTCCATGTAATCATAAACGATCAGGTTCGATCCATTTGTGCCGTTAAGAAATCCCAACAGCTTCACAAGATGTCGGTGTCTGATTCTTCCCAGTGTTCTAATCTCCCTTCCGAAACTTTTATCACTTAAGAAGAGTTCGTTTTCTTTATGTACAATTTTCTTCACCGCAACAATTTCTCCAGTGGGCAACTCAGCTCTGTAGACCGTCCCTGAACCACCTGAACCGATAATAAACTCGTCTTGTAGGTGTTTAGTAGCTTCCATGATTGCATCCCACTTGAAATCTCGTCTACCTGAGCCTTTCAGGACCAGCTCTCTTTCGACTTGTGACGAAGTTGTAGAATAAACACACTTAACTTCACTTGATTTTAGTAAATGTCGTCTTCTGAAAAAGATCGCAAGACCAATGAGCAGAAAAATAAAGGCGATAGTCAGAGAGGCAGAGAGCACCCCTATGGATGCAGAGTTTAGGTTCGAACGGCGATTATTTGGTGCTGAACCAACGCATCCTTGGAGGGGGATACCACAGAGTGCAACATTTCCAGAAAAAGATTGTGGTGGCCAGTGAGAGAACCCTCCATCTAGCTTTCCTTGAAGTTCATTATAGGAGAGATCCAGCTTGACTAAGCTTCTCATATCGCCGATCTGATGAGGGACTTCTCCAGTCAGAAAATTGTGAGAGAGGTTGAGAACTTCAAGTTTGGAGAGCGAGAACAAGGATGTTGGTATTCCTCCTGTGAGGTTGTTGAAGCTCAGGTCGAGTGCAGTCTGTAGATTCTGCAGCTGCTCAATCTCAAAAGGAATATCATCAGTGAAGAAATTGCTAGAGAGACGAAGGTCATAGAGCTTGGTTAACTTTCCAATTGAAGGAGGGATAGGACCAGTGAATTTGTTGTGAGCAAGGTTAAGAACATTCAAAGATGCAAGATTGGCAATTTGAGAAGGAAGTGAACCATTTAGCACATTATCATCAAGAGAAAGCCTCAGGAGGTTGGAAGAGTTGAAGAGTTCGATAGGAAGAGGACCTGAGAACTTATTAGAAGAGAGCTTAAGTTCTCCCAAATTAGGCAAGCTCCCTAGCCAATGAGGAACAGCTCCAGTGAGCTTGTTACCATTGACATCAATGTGTGTCAATCCTTTACAAGAAGCCAACTCTCTCGGTATCTCTCCAGTGAGCAAATTGCTCGACAGATCAAGAAGAGATAAAGCGTCGATATCTCCAAGCATCGGAGGAATTTCGCCGGTCAATTTGTTACTGCCTAGCCGGATTCTTTCAAGAAGCGCGGAGTTTCCCAATTGCGCAGGAATCTCAAGATTGAAGGAATTGTTAGTTAGATCAAAAGAGAGGAGGAAGCTCGAAGCACAAAGAGGGAGGATGCTTCCATTGAGTCTGTTATTGGACAAGTTCACCCTGGTAATATTTTTGCAGTTGAACATCTCATCAGGAATATTACCTTCAAGTGAATTGTTATAGAGCATGAACTGTTGAAGAGATTCTAAGAACCCGAATGTTGCTGGAAGTTTGCCAGTTAACTGATTATCAGCCACATCAAGAATAGTAAGCTGCTTGCAATTCCCCAAAGTGGCTGGAATCTCGCCAGAAAGACTATTCTGCCTAAGATGCAGAAAGTTCAGTTCCTTCAGTCGACCGATGGTAATAGGTATGCTACCACTGAACTGATTTCCAAAGAAATCAATCATCTGCAAGCTCGAGCAGTTACCGATGGCCAATGGAATTTCACCAGACAGTTGATTTTCATATAAGTATAGAATCTGCAAATTCCGTAATCGAAAAAGTTCTTCAGGAATTTCACCTCTCAGTTCATTGTGGTACAATGCCAGTGTCTGAAGATTGGAAAGATTACCAAAACTGCGAGGGATTGATCCAGAGAGGCTATTGTTGTTGAGAAGAAGATCAGTGAGATTGTAAAGCTCGCCGAGCTCAGAAGGAATTTGCCCAGTTAGACTATTGTTAGATAAATCTAACTGTTTCAACGATGCGCAGTCAATCAAACTGATAGGAATTTTTCCAGTAAAGCTGTTAGTTGATAGAAGCAAATGTTCTAAGCCAGGTGAATTTTGACAGATGTTTTCAGGCAACAATGCTGAAAATTTATTACCCGAAAGAACTAGAAATACCAGCTCTTCCAACTGTTCTAGTTCCTTTGGAATCTCACCCTCAAGCAAATTCATTGACAAATCAAGTGTCTGCAGGTTACCCAATTCTCCAATTGAACCCGGAATTGAGCCCTCAAGCTTGTTTCCCATCAAGTTGAGGTACACAAGTTGGCTCAATCTACCAATTTGGGTTGGTATATTTCCTTCTAGTGAATTATTAGCAAGGTTTAAAACTTGCAGACTGTTTAAGTCACCAAGCTCAACAGGCAGAGTCCCAGTAAATTGGTTCTCTGCCAACGTGAGCACCATCAAATCTTTACAGTTCCCCAAACTTTTCGGTATCGAACCCCCAAGTCTATTCTGCTGCAAAACTAAGTTCTGCAATCTGCCCAACTCACCCAATCTGTTCGGTATCGGACCACGTATATTACAGGAAGCAAGCCCAAGAATTGTCAGGTTCAAAAGATCACCAAATGAATGAGGAATTATTCCTGTCAACTCAGCATTATCACCGAGTCGAAGGACTCTGAGGTTCGATAATAAGCCTAAGCTCGAAGGAATGGTGCCCGAAAGACTATTTGAATACAACAACAATATTTCAAGTGAAGAAATGTTTGAAAGCTTAGGAGGGATGTTACCAGCCAATCGGTTATCAGAGAGATCAAGAGTTACAAGAGAAGCGAGCTGGCCAAGTGCAGGAGAGATTGAACCTGTCAGAGATGAAGCTGACAGATTCAGGCTGACGATGGAGTTGGATTGATCACAAGTGACACCTGTCCAATTGCAGTAATCAGGGTTTTCAGATGACCATTCATCAAGAACATGAAATGGGTCGTCGACGATTGACATCTTCAACGAGAGAAGAGCATCTGAAGTGTCATCAGAGGAGATGAAACGAAAGAACAGAGGTGAAACTAGCAGCAGAAGCAAGAGAGGGAGATTGAAGGAGAGATTCATGTTGGAGTTTTCCTTTGGCTATGGCAACAATCTGGATTGAATTTGAGCTTGGTATGGTTATGTGCATGCATGCGCTGGCTTTAAACTTGAAATGTGTACGAGTTGGGATTAGGTGGCATTAAATGTGGCCGCAAGAGTCAGCCAATGGTACACAAGAGAGTGAGAGAGGAGAAGATTTTGGGGCGTGTACAGAGAGATATTGCAGTTGAGAGTTTGAATGGCAAAATGAAGATGGAGGTGCAGAAAGAGGGAGGTTGGATCGCTCCAATTGCCAAGGGAAAAGGTTTGAATTTTTTTATCTAGGAATTTGCACAGTGGTAGTAGGTTTTGGTGAGGCTATATATATTCGGTGAATATTTTGAAGATATGATTACTTGTAAATATACCCAGCCAAACAATTTTAATCCAACATCATTCACAGGTTAATCACTAATTTATTTCTTAAATTATATGATGATAGAGATGAGAATTCAGAAATTAATATTGATGAAACACGTACGCTTGCATAAAATACCTGTGCTCGTCTGAATGAGATGTATGTTATTCTTCTAGAAATTAAGCCTCTTGGGAGTTGAAAGTGACAGTTTCAAACTCCATAGCACGGTTCAATGCATAAATCTCACGACCTTGTTGTTTACTACACATAATTCGAAAACTTTTATAGTCCATATTTTTTTTGTTACCTGCAGCTCTCACTGGTTACATGCACGTCATAAAATTATTACTCGTAAAATCTCTCCTAGGCCTGAAAACTACTGGATGGAATCAAACTTTGACACCATGTGAAGTAAAATATGCATAGCTCCCGAGCCTTTTCATATTGGGCCCCACAAGATCCTCGTAATACGTGGCAGCCACATGGGAAGTTGTGAAATATTCAGTACGGCGTGCTTCCGGATTAATGAGTCAACGCAAACGACGTAGCACTTCAATGATCCGTGAAGGCCCGGAGGGTACCAAAGCAACGCGTCATACTCCCTAATCCATTTGATCAACATCTTTGTTAAATTCAGAAGACAACATACACAATTTAATAATACATGCGGTCAAAGGGGAAAAACTCTGATGCATAATAACACCAAGCCTCGGTGACTTGCTCTTTTAAATGTTGTTTGTATATCTATTTGAATATCTTATATTTTTTTCAAAAAAAAAAAATGAGAGAGAGAGAGAAGGAAAAAAAATATGAAACTACAGAGATCTTTTTGCCTCAAATGTTTGCATAAAAGCGAATCATTCCATCCAAACCAAATAAATAAATATATAAATTCTATTCAACTGATTTGCACTATCCTAAGACATGGTAACGCATCTCTTTTTATGTTGAATTTGACAAACTTATCAGGATTTAGTATTAAGCTAACTAGTCATGAACATTGTGCAAAGCACGGCATATTATTTTTTTCTCGCTACAGTAATCTTGATTTTTAATGCTACGGTAATATTTTTAAAATTTTAAACCACTACGGTTCCCGCCTCTGCTATAGGTTTTTAAAACGTTGTAGTATTTCCGTGTGCTACATCGTTTTTTAAAAAATGCTATAGTATCCAGTATCCTGTAGGCTACAGTAACAATAATATAATAAAATATCACTGTAGCATGAATAGTGAATCTTGGGTTCTCTCATTTGTATAGAGGAGTAGATATATATTGGTGTTTCCCCGAGTTCAATAGAATATGAAGATTTTCTAATTATTTAGTAGAACAAGAGAATTTTAATGTAAAACCTTGGCAGAGCAAACTTTTCCTGCGATTTTTCAAAATTTTTAAATATAGTCTCATACAAACTAATACGGGAAGGACGTCACGGGGGTTAAGCCACCGAACCCAAGTGTCCTGTTGCACCATTTTCCTATCAAGTTGGGGAGGAGGAAGAAAAGAATGTCGCAACGACTCAATCAGAGGCATCTTTTGCCTTACAATATACTTTTTCCATTATATTGTTTCGAGGCTAAAGCCTATGCATAGAAAACTAAATAATGCATGAGTATACACGGAGACAAGCCTAGGCCAAATGTTGTTTTACTAATAAAGGGGAGAATTTGGATAAGGACAGGTCAATTATACAAGAGTTTGATTGATTGATGCTTGCATTGTTGTTTTTAATGGTGTAGGCGATTATTTGGTAAACCACCGCTCCATGGAGATCTCTTCTTCCGTCTCCGCATCCAGCCATAGAATTTGCCCAGTTTGGTCGTGTAATCATTCGATTGTGGTTTGAATCCTCAAGTACTTGGTTAGATGGTAAACTTTTAGCTTGCTCTTGTTGAAAAAAGTAGCATAACAAGAGATTAATGAAATAAATAAACAGCAGAAGCAGACGAGCGTGTAATAAATCCATGAGGCAGGACGACCAACAGAGAATAACGCATGTGAAGAGACCAATCACACATAGGAAAGTACTCAGAGTCACGAGGCATAATCTTTTTTCTACAGTTACATAATCAATTGCAGAAAACAATAAGTTTGCAACCTGAGAATATTTGAGACAGGAGTACTGAAAACGTAGTATGAACCCAGTGTCAAAAACCTCCTCTTGTATATTTATGTCACGGGAACAGAACAACGCCAACACAAAACAGGAGTCATACGACAGACCGAAAGGTTGCAAAAACAGTTGACTTCTTTGAGTAAAAACCAAATTTGAAATGAGTCATGCTCTCTTTAAATATTCCATTCGCAGGAGACGACATTTCTTTTACAACAATCATGCGTGAAAAATTGTTATTTAATGTATTTTCTTATTGCTAAAGAACAAATTATGACGACTCTTAAAGATGATCTCTTTGTGGGCCTCATCCAGCTTAGCCAATACTAATTCCTGAAATCTTCTGTAGCTTCCAAAAGTCACGTCTGGCTGTGAATTTGGCAAGCCCCCCTCAGGCTCAACCTCACCAAATAAGCAGAAATTTTGAGCAAATCTTTGCATTCTTTGCAAATGGTAAAGCTCAAAGAAGAGGAGGCTCCCATGTTTAACTTTAACAGGTGCAGTAAAAAGACACAGTAGTTGCTAACTGACAATGATAGGTTATAATTCATAATCTTACCTCCTTTGCAAAAACTATGATGCACTTGTTTGCATGTTTTAATTTAGATGCGTTGCTGAGTCATGCATTCAGATCTATACTAACTGTTTAACATAAACAAGCTGTTTAATCACTCCGTGGACATATGACGCCCACTAATTGCCAGAAACAAATTTATTCAAATAGAAGAACAATTGAGGCCTAATAAGGAAAAAGAGAGTCACAATCCACAAGTTGCCATTTGCTCGCGAAACATCATCAAAATATAATGAAAAACGGACATTCACGGAGTAAAAATTATTGTACATCATGATAGTTTGTTGCATCAAGATGGCTTGACTGACCAATATCAAACCTATCCTCGTCTAATCTTGTTATGAATATGGAAGACATATGTGCATGGGATAAACCAAAACGGTTTCATAATACGAGTAAACACCTACACCTTCCAAGTGTAAATTGTTATGTGGAGATTTTCAGAATTAATTTGACGACTAGGGACAACGGATGAAATAATTCTGTGATCCCTGAAAGCCCAATTGTCAATAGAAAGGACCAGATGACAATATCCTTAAACCCATGTATTGAAAACTGAAAAGAGGATAAATGTCTAGATTGGGTCTTGGGATGGAGCAGGTGAACAGGAGAGGCGAAAGGGCGCAGGCGGCGGTGCGAGTTCCCAGACGGCGTCTAGTCTCCATCAGCGGCGGTAAGATCACCATCTCTCCCCTTTTCTCAACCTCTTCGTCTCCGGCTCCAACCCTCGCCCAACCTTCACCCACATCTCAACATCCAAAGTCCTCTTTTCCATCCTGTTCACTTCCACTCCGTCACCCACAGATCAAAGCTTCCTCTTCTAAACCATCCTTTGCTGAGATTCTGAAGGGCTCCAAGCCCACAGTACCCCCTTCCGTCCCTCCGCCTTCTTCTAAAGGTCTTCTTCCCACTCCAGACTCGGGCTGGACCACAGTGTCTTACAAAAGGAGGCCTAAAAGACCGAGATCCCCAACCTCCTTCCCTAAGCCTTTCCACCCCCATAAGATTCCTAGGTGCTTTCTTTGTGGTAACTCTGATCACATGGCGAAAAAGTGCTCTCTTGGAGCGTTCAAATGCTTTGCCTGCAATCATGTTGGACACACTTCTGCTAGTTGCCCTAACAAAAGCAACCTCCTTTGCTCAGCATTCCTCCTCAACAACCTCCTCCCCCTCCCCCTCTTCTTCCTAAGGTTTCTCTCCCTCCCTCTGTCAGCTCGAGTTTGGTAGAGTTCTCGAGATATGCCCATTTCCAGATCCAAGTCGGAAAACCCTCTTTTGCGGAGCTGGTGGAAAACTTGGAGTTCCACCTCAAGGTAGAGAACTGGGCTCATGTGATCAGGCAAACATCGGAAAATTCCTATTTTATCCAGTTTCCTGATGCGGAGACACTGGACTATGCCTGCTCCAAACCTTTCTTCAATATGGGAAATTTCGGTGGTAGCTTCTCTCCTTGGTCAGAGTCAGTTGGCCTTAAAGTTTTACCAAAGTTTTTTATGTTTGAGTGGAAGTTCTTGACCTCCCAATTCACCTTTGGGACTCGGAGTTCATTACTATCATCCTTGTGGACATTGGAGATGTTATCGCCTTCTCTGATGATGTTATGCTCAAAAAAGAAGCCCTAGCTTGTAAAGCGATGCTGCAAGTTAGGGATCCCTCCGAAATCCCCCAAGAAGTTATCTTTAGGTATGAATCAGACAATGGAGTCCACATCTTGGAAGGTTCGGTCAAACTGAGAGTGGTTGGTGACCCTTTGCCAGCGGACAAAGACAGAGACCGTGATCTTTTCGAAGCTTTTGTCCGTAAAGAAGGAGCCCCACCCCATTCCCCTAAGGTCCTGCCTCATCAAGGCCCCCCCCAGAGTTTTTTGTCCCCATCTTCGAGACCCAGCCAGCCTGACCTAAAAGGTAAAAGCCCTTTGGTGGAGGCTGGAGGCTCAAACCTTCCTTCTCATCACCCAGCTGATCCAGCAGCTCCGCCAGAGCTTATGGCCGTCTCCTTCAAAGGCATCACGATCGACATCTCTAAAGACTCCTGGTCCACTCTCAAAGCAGCTTTTCCCCACCTGGTAGACGCTCCATCCTTATCTCCTAAAGAAGATATAGCCATCCAGATCAGCTCTTCAGATTCCAAGGACATTGCCTCTTCCTCCGATATTCCCCCAGGATTCGAAATTGCAAAGAGAAAGCCCAAGCCGGCCAAGAAGAAAGTTTCAAGCAACCACCCTTTGCACCTGCCCTTCAGGAAACATCTTGCCATGCTAAAGAAGGGTAAGT